GATAATTAAAGATTCTTCCTATGTGAATAAAATGCTTTTTCCTGATCAAAGGAAACAGGCACAAAAGGACCTTTACACAACATGTTTCAGAGAAAAGTGTTGCCTTTATTTACATGTTCAAAAACCATGAGAGATTTGGAAAGCCATCTGACTGTTATAAACAGGACTTTCCCTATAGTTACATTTTGTTACTACCCACACTATTACTAGGGGTGGTAATGGTTAACTGGTATGAATCACCCTTATTGAGTGCGCTTACCAGTTAGCCGGTGGCCTATCATACAACAGACAAGCAGGCCACTGCAGCCCAGCCAGGTTGGAGCAGGCCCCCACACCCATCCCCGTTTAACCAGTTAACTGCATCCCTAACTATTATCCGCTACATAATTTGTAATATTCCAGAAGTGCTCAGTGAATATGGTGATGGGCGTGACACAAAGACCTAGACAGACAAATTAAGGCAAAGCAAAGGCAGGATAAGACACTTTTAGAAGAGGCATCTACATGCTATGAGTACAGGCTACACAAAAAATATAATTAAAAAAGACAATGGTCACATTTTTATTAGGTCCTTGTGAGTTTATACCATGGTTTGCAGGATCTCTTTGTTGTATATAAAGGCCATAAAACTAATCAATTCAATGCAATAAAACTTCATTGCTGAAAACAAAATAAGCTAAGGACAAACTACAATCCTCTACCAATAGTCTGATGCCAGAAGTCACGTTCCTGAAAAGGGAAATAAAGAAAGCTCTCATAAAAGGGGATTTCCATTAGGGATCTAAAGGGTTAACCACTTAGCTTTACCGACACACTTACTGAGGTAACTAATTAACCAGCAGGCCCAGTACAGCCCCCCCATCCCCAAACTGATCAGCCTCATTTACACAAGTGCCCTCCCTTTGTTGTGTGTGTTTATACACACACTAGAGATGTTAGCAACCAGTCAGAAGCAGCCCCTGTTCCTGGCAGACAGAGGACTGTCTGCCGTGAAGCAGTGCTAGCTGGGACTAAACAGTCCTGGCTCACGCTGATCATTTAAAATGCAGAAGCGCAGTGTAGAGAGCGCCCAGCAGCTCTTACTATATTTAAAATGCAGAGCAGCAGCACGAGTGGCTCTGGAGCCACTCCTGGAGCTACCTCCACTGCAGCTCTGCACAGCAGCACTTATTGACTAATCATATAGTCGATACAAATAGTATTAACTATACGATTACCCAGATAATCGCATTTTAACACCCTTAACACATACATGCCTCTAATCTCCACTCGAATTCATCTGAAGTGGGTTTTTACTAATAAATCTGTACTATGGAACTTCAGCTACGTTAATTGCATATTTTAAGTTGAAATCACGTAATTCGACTTTTGAGCTGTCTACAGTCTAAGGAAGAACACACTTTGACTTCCCTTACTCCTCGTGAAATGAGGGTTACAGGAGTCTGAGTAAGAAGTCCTCCATTATAATGTCCTTGACATTATTTCAAAATAAAGGCTTGTAGCGTAGATGAACTCTATGTTATTTCAGAACAAAATCGGTTACTCCAAAATAACACTGCTTTGTAGACGTACCCTAAGATGCCACAGGACTCCTGTTGTTTGTGTCAGAATCAACAAAGAAAATACAATTACAGCGTAAGATTGAGAGGAATTTTTAAAACTATGGCTATCTGAAACAAATTCCTAAAAAATATGATGCTCGCTCCCCATAAAAAAGTATATTTTCACCAGCCGATGACCTTAAAGTAATTAAAATCATACTGGCAGTTAAGAAATACAGAGGGGGAAAAAGAGTTGCAAAGTTATGACATTTTTATAAAGCTATTCTTGGTAGTCAAGGATGATGGACTGAAGTGCTCTACAAATAATTTATAATTATTTCAATTAACTGCATTCTAAACTATGATATTGTCATAGAAGAGGTCATTTGACTAAAATACTTTAGTACTGGTCACAATCTGTTTCCTACTTATGCAGCTTACAAAAAGAAAAAAACTTATATTATATTTAATTTTAAACTTAGAGAAGTTAACTACAGTCAGAAGAACAAGTTATTTTAAACTGGTATTTTATGGATAATTTTTTATTTAAAATGCCCTTCCATAATCCAAAAATGTCACACCGTAGATATATTTGTAGCTGCATTGTCAAATCCAAAGAGTTTGTCGCTAAACCAGACTTATCAAGAAGAGCCAGCGTACAAAAAACTGCAACAATTCATATTACCAGACATGTTAGTGATAGAGCTCTGAATGCAATTCCCACACAACGGTGTATAATCTTACATTGAGGCTTCCTCTCCATGGTGGGAGAAGGAGATCGCTATGGACTCTGGCCACTAATCCTGACAGCCCTGGTGAGAGGGAGCTATAGACTCTGCCCACTAGGACACACACGTGGCTGAGCATGAGTTGAGGGGCCTCTGAGGCCTGATTCCCACTCCCGAAGGGAATGGGCAGGCTTACCTGTGAAAGCACCCCTTCCCGGCCTAAGCTCATCAGAGCTGCTGCAGAGAGGTGCTCCTCCCCCAGCCCTGAGCTTTTGTGGCAAGGAAGAGGGTAGGGGAGTTCTCCCCTCCTCACTGCAGACCCAGAGCATCCTCATGTATTCCAAACCTCTCATCCCCAGCACCACTGCAGAATCCTTACCTCCCTCCCCACATACACTACTATGCCCCAACTCTGAGCCCCACCATTCAAAACCCCTCAGCCCATCCCTGCCACACCATTCACCTCCATATTGGTACACAATTCATTCCACATACAGGCATAAAAAATTAGAGGGAACTATACATACAAAATAATGGGGTCTAAATTCAGCTGTTGCTACTCAAGAAAGATCTAGGAGACATCACAATTCTCTGAACCCTTTTACTCAATGTGAAATGGCAGTAAAAAATGTTACATTAGGAACCATTAGGAAATGGATAGATAAAACAGAAAATATCATGACACTATCAATGAAATGCTCACACCATGAACAGTATATGCAATTCTGGTTGCCCCATCACAAAACAGGCATATGGAAATGGAAAAGGTATAGAGAAGATCAACAAAAGTGATCAAATGTATGGAAGAGCTTCCCCATGAAGTGAGATTAAAAAAATATTTGGACTATTCATCTTGAGGGAAAAAAAGATGGCCAAAGGAAGATAAAATAGAGGTTTATAAAATCATTAATGGCATGGATAAAGTGAACACAAACAAAAGACGTAAGAACCACTCAATGAAATTAAGAGGCAGTAGGTTTATAAAAAACAAAAAGGAAATACTTGAAATAATTCATACGTAATCTGTGAAACTGTGCCAAGGGATGTTTTGCATGCCAAAACTCTAATCTGATTAAAAAAAGAACTAAAAATGATCCTGAAGATCAAATCCAATGATGGCTATTAGCCAAGATGGCCATGCATGCAACAACATGCTCTGGATGTCGCAGCCTCAGACTGCCACATACTGGGACTGAACAACAGGGGGCGGATCACTTGACAAACTAGTTCCGTTTATTCCCTCTAGAACACCTGGCATTGGTCACTATCAGAAGACAGGATTATTGGGCCAGATGGACCACTGGTCTGACTCTGTATGGACACTTATATTGGGAATGCTGATGAAAGCCAATAAGAATTGTCCTTTTAAAAAAGTCATCATCTTTGAATTAGTGACGATAAGACCTGACACTTTACCAGTATGAATTTTTACATTTTGAAAGACTGATGTAACAAAAGCAAGTCAATGAGGGTCTCTATTTCGCACAGGCCTTCAGATACATTAGACACTTAACCAAAAATGAAAAATAACTTCACCAAAACTTCTCTACATCAGAGCCCTGAAGCAAGGCAGGCAGGAAACCAGACATTTGCACAAACTTTTCCATAAACAAGCCCATGACATGCAGGAGTTAAACAAGAATCTTTTTCAGTTAGTGAACCTCCATTCCAATGGACCACAAATAGTTCCAATTCCAATCATTCCTCCTTTTTCTGTGATTGAAAAATGTGTTTTGTTCCATTTTCTTCATTTTTCAAAGGCATACATCTGTCCCCCAAGTTAATATGGGGGGGAGGGGAAGAAAGAAAGGAAAAACAGATACATAAAAACTGACAGTAAAAGCATTTTAATGCTGTGATGCATTTCATGAAGTGTACATTAATAGTACATACACATGTGCATCTGAGCAGGTTTATCTTCCACTACATTGCCTTACTTTGACAGCCTCACATTTACATTTAGACTAAGTTATTGTTAAATAGGTCCACCTAACACCCCAATTTCTCTCTCCTGATTGCACATACTGCAGACATGTGGTTTTGAAAATGTTATTTCCCTTTAATTATTTGGATGCAGAAAAATAGTACAAGCATAACTCAACTGAGCACCAAAAAAGTAAGCAATAGTGATGTTTTAGTACCATGATGAAAGTTTGGTCTCATTTACTGTATATTCTCCATATATTTTTTCAAAATTAAGTCGAATATCACTCCCAATTTAGATAAGCTTCCTTTAAAATAAATACAAATTTAAGATGACCAGTCTTTAACTCAACTACTTGACATTAAATAGCTTCAATTTTATAAAGACTCAGTAAGATGCCGCTTCATTTAAATATTATGTAACAGCTCATTTTTCATTGACAAGTATAGAAGATAAACAGTATTAAAATGTTTCAGTGGCACTAGGATCGTGCACAGCCATTATGTTCTTGCTTCTAATATTATGTAGATAGTATTATAAATTAAGAGTGGAGAGTCAGTTCTCGAAAGCATCAGCACAACTGCCATGAGAAACATGCTGGCACAAAGCAATGACATGCCAATAATATAAAACGAACATGTAAAATAGCAAGTCAATTGATAGAATATTGTTACCATTTATGAACAGCAGTGGAAGCAGCAAGGCAAATTTTTTTTTAATCCAAATCGCGCACATTACACAAATATTTTGCTTTTTAGTTTCTAGTTC